CACGGGGCCCCCGCCCGCCGCCGCCTCCCTGTCCCGGACGCCGGGGCCTGGGCCTTCGGGGTCTGGCTGGGGGGACGAGCGCTTACCTGAGCCGGGTCCCTGCGCGCGGCCGCCGCCATCGGACTCGGTGGGCTGAGCGAGGCCGGAGGTGGGCGGACACCCGGACTCGACTGTGTGCGGCGAGGACAGCGCCTCCCCGCGCGTCTTCACGACCAGTCACCGGATCCTGACGCGCGCTCCGGAACCTTACGGGATAAACAGACCCGACCTCAGGCAAAGAGACCTACGGGGGATGAGACCGGAAGTCCCGCCCCCGGGGATTGCGCTCGCCTAGAAACGCCGTGTGCTGTTCCCTCATTGGCTCCTCGCTGCGTCCTCGGGTCGGGCTCTTCCGGGTGGGGTGGCTCCCGGAGCTCTGGCGGTCTCCGGTAGGGGGTCCCCCACCCTGGAGTTGCCGAGCTGTGGTCACGTGGCACCCTGAGGGACGCTGGAAAGTGCTGCTCCTCGCCAGGGGGACGGGATTTGCTCCTCGTTAAAGGCAGAGAAGAGCTATGCTTTCAGACTCCATGAAAGCCAATCATCTTCCAAAGGAGAAAACTATTATTTTAGATGCTCCCATATTCCTTTGCTGAGGTAAATGACAAATCATCCCTTGAAGTACTTCTGAAAGAAATGAGTCGCTGTCTAACTGGAAAGTTGTTGCTCATTAAATGCTTGCGCCCGGGATGAGTTAGAGTCAGTTTTGTAGTTAGGAACTTAGAAAACTTCCTGTTAAATAATAAAAATTTAACAGTGCATTCTAAAGGGCTTTTGGCTTTACTCATCGATTTGTGAATTGGGCAGCATCCGATCTAGCAAGTAGAGGGCAGCTCCAAAGCGCTACAGAAAGGGGATGGTTTTTAAAGGTAGGAAAAGAATATCATAAACAGAAAGAAGGATTATGTCAGTTGAAGATTGTGGGGACAAAAGACTCATTAGGAGAATCCGTCATCTTTCTTTGGGGAATGGAGAGGGCCCATCCACGTACATTACCTTTTTGGTGCTGACCAGCAGATTCCTGACTGTGCAGTGGAAACTGAATTTCTGGGAAGGTTGAAAGTGCAGTGAGCTTCGATATTATGCCCTGGTTTGGTGACACAGCCTAGCAGAAGTGACTCCATTTGGGGCCTGTGGTTTCCTTTTTACACCCCATACAGGTCCATGACAGGGAAGAAGGACGAGGGATGGTAGGCCACCCCGAATGATGTGGTCAATGACGCGGTCAGCCTCTGGTTCCACACTAAACCTCTCTGACCTGTATAATGATTGCGCCCATCTATGAAGGAACACTTTTATCCATATAATTCTTACTCCATATTCTCAGATGTACTCAATTCCTTTTAGAAGTCTGACATCAGGGGGGAGGGGGGTGGGAGGATGGGTTGGCCTGGTGGTGGGTATTGAGGAGGGCACGTTCTGCATGGAGCACTGGGTGTTGTGCACTAACAATGAATCATGGAACACTTCATCTAGAACTAATGATGTAATGTATGGGGATTAACATAAGAATAAAAAAAAAAAGAAGTCTGACATCATCCCAAACAGCTCAACTTAACCCATGCTATTTTTCGTACTGAACACATATTGCCATTTTCATTTGGAGCGTGTGTGCAAAGCGAGAATCTGAGCCCTGAAATAAAGGGTTTTCTGAACCCAATGATCTCACCTTCTTGCTGGGAAGTGATTCTTCTTTCTTCAGGCACTGGCGGTAGTGTCACTTTAGGAATTGAAGTTATCTCAGAATAGAGTGCTGAAAAATGCACATTTCGGAAAGCAGTTTCTAACCTTTATCAGGTTGTTTAAAGACAATGGTAGACATGGCTATGGCGAAACCCACATTCCATCTCCCTACACATCATTAAAGGCTACAAAAACATTATGACCTGAAAGAACTTTTAGAGAAGGCTCTAAGAAGCCTGAGAAAAGATGGAATGAAATTGAACACGGGACTCTGCTAGACCAATATGCCTGGTCATTGTGAGGGCTTTTATCTCCAAAATGTAACTTTTTCATTCCTGAAAACATTGAGCAATGCTACTGTCATCCTTAAAAATAAATAGCCACTTATTTTACTAGCAAACTGAGTTTATTCAGGAATTAACAGAGGAATTTCAACTGGGGATAAGCACGGTAGGGCAAACCACAGGAAAGTCTGAAGAAACAGAAGGAAAGTCAGCTTTTATTAGGTTTTAGGGGGAGACTGGGGAGATTTGCTTTCAATAAAAGTTCATTGAAGAACAAGAGTTTCCAGTTGTCACAATTATTCATTGGCTGTATGCCCTGGTTAGTGTGTAGTTGCTGGGGCAAGGAGCATTCATTCTTCTTTTTGTTAAAAGCAGGAGATCAAATTCCTACTGTGAAAGTTTCCTCCCTTGTCAAGATAAAAATAATCTTCCTTTTTCCTGCTAATTAACCATTCCTACCTTTGTGAGAGCTTCATTTTACTTTAATTTTTTAAATTTAAATATAGTTAACATGTAATGTATTATTAGTTTCAGAATTAGAGTTCAGTGATTCATCAGTCTTATATAATACCCAGAGCTCATAACAACACGTGCTCTCCTTAATGTCCATCACCCAGCTACCCCATCCCCCACCCCGGAGAGCTTCATTTTAAACGTGGTTTCCTTTACTAATTTTCAGACTACCTTGGAGAGGGAAGTGGACATTTACAGTGCCCGTAAGAATTAAAATGAAGAGAAATCGATGTCGTGTGTATTCACTGGTCTCACAAATGTGCATTGAGCATATACTGGGTTTGTAGGAAATTTTGGTAGATGCATGGGAGAAATGCAGGCACAAGACAAATAGTCCTGCCTTCAAATGCCTTGTATTATGTTCAAGGAAAACACAGGAAACATGAAAACAGAAATTCAAGTTTACATTCAGTGTTAAAATGTGGCAGGTGGGATGGAAACGAGAGATGATTTTGTGAGAAGAGAGTAGTTGGTGTAATAATCCACTGGGCAGAAAGGAAGCCCTCATTAATAAGAGCACCACTGAGCAAGGATGAGTCCTGTGGGTTTTTATTTTTATTAGCTCTGTTAAAAGATGAAGTGAACTACATAGAAAATTTCAAAGAGCTTATCTGAGCAAACACCAAAACCATTCAGGCAACACCAAACCAAACTAGGGAGAAGACTAATCTAAAAAGGGGTGCCTGGGTGGCTCAGTTGGTTAAGGGGCTGTTTTTGGCTCAGGTCACGATCCCAGGGGCCTGGGAGGGAGTCCCGCATTGCAGTGGGCTCACTGCTCAGTGGGAAGCCTGCTTCTCTCTCTCCCTCTACCTGCCACTCTCCCTGCTTCTGCTTGCTCTCTTTCTCTCTCTCAAATAAATAAATAAAATCTTAAAAGGGGGGAATACCAAAAGGGAAGCAACAAAGAAGTTGTATGATTGGCTATAGTTTAAGGAATTGTCTTACTTGGGAAACACAAATTGTCTCTGGTTTTGTTTTTTGTTTTGTTTTTGTTTTTAGAGTGCGAGTCCATGAAGCAGGGGGAGAGGAGCAAAGGCAGAGGGAGAGAGATTCTTAACCAGTCTCCATGCCTAATGCAGGACTGGCTCTCAAGACCCTGAGGTCATGACCCCAACCAAAATCAAGTGTCATACACTTAATTGAATTAGCCACCCGTGGGCCCCTTGCTTTTTAAAATTTTAACTAGGCTCCATGCTCACTGTGAAGCCCAACATAGTTCGCTGTGTGTGATTGGATGTTTTTAGGTTTTGACTTCCTAACATTGAGGCATTTATAAATGTTAGGTTTCAGTTTGCCTCTCTAGGTGGAAGGGCATTGGAGCCACCTGCACCTAGTGGCCTCTTTGTTGATTTGCAGTTCCACACGAAAGAAGCAGGTGCCTAGGTGGCTTGCTGTGGACTCTCCTGCAGTGGAGACCCTGGGACTCCAGCCCTTTAAGCTTTTACCCTGCTTGGCTCACTGCAGAGACACTTGGCAGTTGTGCATGAGAAACCCTTTGCTGTGCTGCTCATAACAGTCTGTACATCTACAGCCTCCTGTCCTGGAGCCTGGAGGGAGGCAGCCTGGCCTTCCCTAAAAAACCTGTTCTCACAGTTTCATCTCTGCACTGACCCTCTCCATTAGCTTTACCTCAGCTCATTAAAAATGTTCATTCTCAGCCCACATCCCAGACCTACTGACTCAGACACTATAGTGGTAGCCCAGGAGTCAGTTTTTAAGATGTCTCTGGGTAAGATAGACACACAGTTGAATGTTCCATGTTCTCCTTGTGTTCCTGAAGACCGGGACCTGATATTCTTGTGACTGACACGAATCTCCTCTATAGTTGCAGGATTCCAGAATACAGGCTGTAAAATTTATCAGTACACATTTGTTTCCTTCATTTAAAAACTGATGTGTAAAGGAGGGCCTGGATGATTCAGTTGGTTAAGTGTCCAACTTCAGCTCAGGTCATGCATGATCTTGGGGTCCTGGGATTGAGCCCTGCATTGGGGCTCCCTACTCAGCGGGGAGTCTGCTTGTCCATCTTCCTTTGACCTCCGTTCTCTGTGCTTGCTCTCTTTTTCTCTCTCTCTCAAATAAATACATAAAATCTTTTTTGAAAAAGGTAATGTCTAGAATGTCTGATTTACTGTACTTTATTAGTGGGTAAGTGCTCCTTTATGAACATAAAAAGTGAAAAACCTTTAACCACTGTGCCTGGTCCAGAAAAACAATATTTGCAGTATGGTATACTTTTTCTAAGATTTTTTAAAATTAATTAATTTATTTATTTAAAGAGAGCGAGCGTAAGCAGAACGGGCAGATGGACAGGAAGTGAGAGAAACTCAAGCAGACACCACAGTGAGGATGGAGCCCAATGCTGGGCTTGATCTCATAATCCCCAGATCACCAGCTGAGCCAAAATCAAGAGGTGGACTGTTATCTGACTGAGACACACAGGCGCCATATAATATCCTTTTATTTTATTTTTTTATTTTTTTAAAGATTTTATTTATTTATTTGACAGAGAGA